AAATTTGTCTCAGGTTCTCTTAGGATGAAATGTAAAACAAAAACACTTTTAGAACAAATACAATGATTTCTTTTTGTAATCTTAATTTATAGATTAGATTTAAAAATGAACTCAAACTCTTTATCATAAAAAAGGTTAAACGATAAATAATAAATAGAGTCTAATTTGTAACGTTTAACGGAATACCCAGACGTAAGGACTGAAGAGAACAGACTCCAAAACTCGATAAGTTCAACAGCGATAATTTACAAGTGCTCAAAGCCATCAAACGTGCACGGGGACGGGCTGGAACCAGGGAGGACTGGAGTCAGTCGAGGAGACATGTGATCCAGTGGGTCCAGAACGAGGAAGGAAGACGTCCAGTAGGGTTCCAGGTTGGAGGCAGGCAAGTAGAAGGTGAAGAGGCAGCTGAGGAGGCAGAGGAGAGCTCGAGGTCTGCAGTGAAATTCAGGAACAGGTGGACAGCAGCGATAACACATTGGGCAGGTAATGCTCCAGCGCTGACTGGATGTCCTCTGCAGCCTTTTGCACTCCTGCAGCTCATCGAGACGATGGTCCACAGGTGAGGATGATTGGTCTCTTGTGGCTGCAGGAAGCTGCAGAGCAGAACTCCCACACAGTTACTATTATTTTTTCATAAAAACGTTTAGGTGAGTTTCTGTATTTGTCTTTGTTTGAATATTTTTGCACATGCATTCTGCATCCTCACCCGTTTTAATCTCCTTTTACATACTTTAATTTTGTTGTTGTTGTTGTAAATGCTATGGAATAAATGACAATATTTCTAAATATCATTAAACATCAATTTATTTTTCCCAACAAATATTTACCTAAAATGATCCAGAATGTGTTTTTATAAAAATAAAAGTAAAAAGAACGTCAATATATTTTAATACGATCCAAATAACATAAAAATGATTTAATGTTTTCATGTTATGGTGATAATAGCAAGAATTAATGAATAAAAATACAAGTTTAAAATGTCAAAGGTTTAGTTTTATCAGTGAAAAGAAGAAAGACACCTTGGATGTTTAAATTTATTTTATCTTTAGACTCTTTTCAGATTTAAAATAGCTAAAATCAAAACTGCTATTATTATGTTTGGGAGCTGATCTCCAGTGGTTATTGGGCATTAGGCGGGGTGCACCCTGGACGTGTCTTTGGTCCATCACAATTCTGCTAACGTTACACTGAATCTTTACAATTCAGTTTCAGCTCAGCTGGTTCTGCACCTCCAAATTTTCTTCAAGAAATGTGTCTTAATTTTCATCTATCCGAACGCTCGAATGGCTAAAATCTGTAAAAATTAATTTTAAAGCCTGCTAAAAAAGTCTTGAATATATAGTTTTTTTTTTAACTCTATTTTTTTTTTCTGTTTCCTTTAAGAACCAGAGGCTACTGTGGAAAAAATAAAAACAGTTCCCACTAAGAAAGGTAAAGTAGTTAATAAATTAAAAGTGCATGTGGACGTTTTTCATGATTACAGCAGTTAACTGTTACAAACGTCTTATTATTTTAGCTCCTGAGAAGAAAATGAAGGATGCTGATTCAGTTAGAGGTACCACCTTTCCTCTTTCCCTTAAGGACTAAATACTTAGTCTGCCACAAAACTTCAATGTTTCCTGAAAGAATTTATAACCACAGCAGTGATGTATTTAATGGCAAAATGATATGAACGTATCAATAAAAAGAACAACTCTGGATGATGATTTTTCTGCAATTATCCCCTCAGAACCTGCAGCGACCAAAGATAAAACAAAGAAAGGTAATTTCTGTTTACAGCTCAATAATTTGGATTTGTTGTGACTAAATCTTTGAATGTTGATTAAAAAAAAAAAAAGACAAATTTCCAGTTGTATTTTTTAAAAATGTACATAAACTTTGGATCAGAAAAATAAAACGAACAAGGACATAATTTATGTCATGAATTTGGTAACTGATTTTAAATGCTTATCATTTAAACTTGCTTCTACAGCGCTGGCTGCAAAAAAAGAGCAAATCAAAGAGAAAACCAAAGAAAAAGCCAATATTCTGGCAGAAACTACAAAAGGTAAAACATATTCATACAACCTTTGTGTCACGTACACATGATGGGGTTCAACTATAACCATTTGTTCAACATTTATGTTTTAAAAGAGCTCCCTTCAAAAAAGAAGACCAAATCTTCAGTTTCAAAGAAAGGTAGGATGCTTCTGTCCCTGATGGTTTCTATATTTCATAAGACTGAAAGATCCTCTTTGATGAGAGCTAACATCTCATCTTTGACATGATAACTTAATCACAACTCGCTCCTCATCACGTCAGAGCCTGCAGCTGCACAACACAAGAGGAAATCAGCGCCTGAGACGGCAGGTAACACACACTGACGAGCTTTAATAAGCACAAAGTCAATCATCATTCAGAGCAACGACAAGCGAGATGATTGGAAACTAATCGTTCCTCTTCCCCTCTGGAGCGTCAGCTGTCAGGAGCAAAGCCAAGGCGTCCAAAGAGAAGAAAGGTACAAGCCTGACCTTACATGAACGTAACGACCCAGCAACATTTCAAAATAAATTATTTTTAAACAGATCCAGAACCACATCCGCAGCCGTTAAGGCTCAGAATGCGACCGGACCCTGACCGTAGGGCGAACGGGACGTCTCAGGCCAGAGAAGAGAAACGCCTCAGAGCTTCATATAAACCAGGTAACTCAGACAGGTGGTCGTTTGTGCAGTTTTAAAAACAATTTACTGTGAATTACCATCTTTGATTATTTAGGAATTCACCAGCCTCAATCATCATCTCTTATTGTTTTTATTTTTTTTGTTACCAGATCAGATAAGATCAAAATTATTGGAAGAGAAAAAAAGTAAGTTTGGAGTTATTTACATCTGTTTATTACCTGGAACTGTTGGTCAATTCATACGAATCATACCCAGCAGCTGTCATTTTGTACCAAGTCATTACCAGTTCATCTAAATGAAGTACAAAACGACTACTAATTTGCACCGATGCACTTACCATACCCCCTATATGCAGAGATCCACTCAATTTTCAAATTGTTCTCTACTAACTTAAATCAACATTGGGGTGTCGTACAGTATTTGCTCAGCTGTGATGTGTTAAATATGAATACGTTGGGTACAAACTCTCGACAATGCAGGCTTCTGTGTATACCCGAACAGCAGGTACAAAGTGGAAAAAGCTGCAAATGTATGATGTGACCTGGAACTAGAGTTGCATTCAGGCCCAAAATATCCTATCCGACCCAGCCCCAGACCGTAGCCATCATTTCCGAACGTCCCCAAACCTGACGAATTAACAGGTTGACAGGATCAGTGGTGGCAGTTGAGCTAGGGCTAAAGACAATGACTTCAGTCTTCTCATTGTTAAAACGTAAGAAATTTGAAGCCATCCAGGCCTTAATGTTGTCCAGACATTGAATGAAGCAAACACGTGCTGGTTTCACAGGCAGGTAGATCTGGCAGTCATCAGCATAGCAATGGAATGAAAGACCATGTTTCCTCAGGATGGACCCCAGTGGGAGCAAATAAAGTGAGAACAGAAGGGGTCCAAGAATCGAACCCTGTGGGACCCCACAAGAAAGAGGTAATGAGGCGGATACATTATTACCAACCTTGACACAGAAACTCCTGCCACTCAGGTATGAGCGAAACCATTCTAATGCAGCACCTGTGATCCCAACCCATAAAAGGGGCAGAAGATTGGAGCTGAGGGGGTGTTTGTCCTTTCATGGCCATCAAAGCGCATTAAAACCCTCTCTGACATGTCTGCTTTGAGATCTTATCTCTTTGGGTCATCGGCCGCATGCGTGCGCTGAGTGCAGCGGATAAATAAACGTCCATTTGGGCGATGGATCGCTTCCTGGCAGTAGTCCATCTGAAGCTTAATTGAACTTTATTTTACCTCTTTCAAGGCCAGTCAGCTCGTGGGGAAATGGCCACGTGTGGCTGGTGTAGTATGGAAAGCCATGTTGCCATATAATTAGATAGAATGGCGAGCCATGTTGCCATATAATTGGATTGCGGCCAAAAGTCAGACACCGACCTGACGCGCCCATCCAGCACATAATCATGGCCTGGCCTGCCTTGAATTTGGGTCGGACCAGGCCGGGCGTTGGGCCCGGGTTAGAAATGACAGCGCTACCTGGAAACCATACTCAGTGGTGTAAATGTAGTGTTTACATGTTGAGAATTAGTTATTTCATTTATACTCTGAACTTTGCTGATGTGCGCATACATCATTGTGATCTGCAGTGAAAATAGGGAGCAGGTGGAAGAGAGCCTGGAGATGTAGAGCTATGCTTTAGACAAGAGTGAAACAGAGGCAAGACAGGATTCCTGTATGTGTAAGAGAAGGAGACAAGCAGCTGCGAGGCTGCGAGGAGCAGAGGTGCTGAAGGAGGATGAGTATACGCACCAGGGTTGAAGAAGAGGGTGATCGGTGCAGGCAAGTGCCAGGTGAGATTTGTGCCAGAAAGAGAGCTGCGAGTGTGAAAGGGACACTTTACAAGCTGAGGCCTGACAGCTATAGTTCGGAGACGATGACACTGATGATAAGACCAGGGGAGAGCAGAGGATCTACTGGCCAAAGGATGTTATGGAGGAGGGGAAGAGGTAGACACAAGAGAAGGTTCAAAGATGATGAGGGTTGGCGGGACAGAAGAGGATGCTGGGATAGAGTAAGATGAAGTGTTTAATCTGCTGAGGATACCCACTGTAAGGTTGGGCTATATATATACCCAGATAGTATGTGACTGAGAACAACAACTTCAGGGCCAGGAGAAAGTTTAACAGTGTTTGTTGACAGATAGTGAATAATAATGAACAGTGTGCAGGATCTGTAGACCTGGACTGGAACCCTAGAGAGTAGGGGACAGTGAAGGCTCTTCTGGGAGGTTGGTCTTGATGTTCAGATTCCTAACTATAAGCAGGCAGAGTTGTCGCAGAGGCGAAATCCAAAATGGTTCCAAAAGGTCTCACACAAACGTTGGGCAAGTGGTGGAAGGCAGGGAACAGCTGGAGAGATCACGAGGAGGCTCAGGGGGATCATAGGATTCAAGCTATAACAAGGAGATTCAAGATTAGTCTTTCACAAAACACTGGGAGCAAGATAAATGTCAGGGACACAACTACCAAAAGGCAGATAATGCACCAGCGTCAGATTGCAGTCATCTACTGCCTTAAGTGCTCCTTGCAGCTCATTGGGCGGATGGTTCTAAGGTGTGGTTCTGTTGGCGCCCTCTGGTGTAGGAAAGCTGCAAGAGAAAAAAAAACTGGAACTCCTACACCCATAAGGAGCACCTGAAGGAATATTGTGACTTTAATTTTCTTGCTGACCACTCGGAGCTAAACTGTTGAAGACATTGTTCGATATCATCGTGGGTTTGTGTGAACTATCGAACCCAGATTCAAGCACCATTCTAGAGGCAGGAAGTGAGGGACAATTAAGGATTTACGAGATGACTGGACTTATTTTCTTGTTTCTCAGACGTTTCTCCTCTCATCTGAAATTAGTCTTTAGTTCTGTTCCTGGTTTGGGAGTTCCAGGTTTCTGAAACAGTAAATGTTTGGACCTTCTGATTTAACTGGTTGAAACGTGTCCCTACAACACCTCGCAGGTGGGCCAGGTGTGGAGTTTCACTTTAATGTTTGATGTGAAGGACCCAAGCCGGATCTTTCAACTCACGATCAGAGCTGAAGAACCTTTTTGGATGAGATTCTTTAAGGTGGCAACAGTTTTCACAATGATTTGTCTTTTTTCTCACAGGCAAAGCAGCAAAAACGGAAAAGAAACCCGTCAAACCTGCTGAAGGTATGGAGCTAGAACGGGATTAGAAACTGAAACTGTGACAATATTATTATTATTTTTATTAGACCTTTATTTATGCAGGTTAGTTCCCATCAAGCCTCAAAGACTCATTTACAAGAGAGACCTGTTACATACAATATACAGGCAGATGAGAAAAAGAGAACACGATGGTGGGGGAAGCCAAAAAAAAAAAAAAAAATCATGTCTCACACCAATTCCTGATTGGGAAACAGCATAAAAGATGCAGAAAAAGACCTCACAACAACATAAAACAGCAACATACAATGACATCATAATATATTTATGCATAGAAGTTGACAAAGCCGGTAAATTATCCATAAACACTCAAGCGTTCCAAAGTTCTGATAAGATGGTACAGTGTCTATCAGCATCATGGTTCTGATAAGGTCACATTTGTCCTTGGGGGGAAGCAGGCAGAGCTTCTAGTTACGTATCCTCCAGGAGCAATTTGAAGTAAGTTGGCCTGTCCAAGGCCAGCGGGGAGGCCAAATTAAAAAACAACATTGTTTGGGCCGCCAGACTCTGTTTACTTTCTGTCTTCAGTTCTGCTGGTACACTCACTGGTGAATCCAAACAGCCAGATTAGTGACATTCCACCCGGTCCGTGCTCGATTTAGCTTTCTCCAAGATTAAATCCTTCATGCTGGCAAGTTCCAAGAGCAGTAAGTGGCCTACGATTCTCAGAAATCGTGTCCAGCTTGCAGTTGAGCTCGTTAAGCATACGAGTCTGAGAGCTCGAGGCACAACTTAACCCCTCACATAAGGCTGGCAGCTTTACCACGGTCGAAACTGCTGCTGACGTCTCCCTAATTTGTCGATGTCCATGGTATCCACCATTTTCAAAAAGCAGAAACCCTGTCATCATAAATCCAGTAATGTGCACATGTTCTGCGTCCTCCACAGACAGTACAGATAAGCACACCATCTTCCACTCACTTCAGGAATCAATGACGTACTCAGCTGCGTGGGTCTGTTCAGGGCATGAGGGCTCTCCAGCATCATGTCGTCTGGTGGAAAAAAATTCTTAATTACATGACATAAAATTTAAATACCTAGTTCTTTTACTTCTAATTTAAATAAAAACAACCACCACAATCAATTATTTTTTCATAAGTACATTAACATAAATGTTGTCTAAAGTTTTGAATATATTTTTGCGTAATTATTCAAGATGCTTTATCACGCAAAGCTGCAGTTCTTCGTGTCGTTTGCTTGTCACTAGCGAATGGAAAACGAGCTTCTTCTTGTTAAAACCTGAGATATTTCATCAACTTTCATCAACTTTCAACATTTTCCCGCTGTTTAACTTAATGTGAGGAGATTTAATGTTGTACAACAGAAATGACTGTAAAGAAATAAACTGGTTAAAACAATACGGACATCTTTAACTGTCTTGAATTATTGAAGAGGTTGGAGGTTTTAGAAATGAACAATACTTAGTTGGATGAAGTCCTTTAACCAAAACTCGTTAATCTGTGGTATCAGTGGATTATCAACGCTGAGTGTTAGCACTCACTTCCTGTTTCTAAAAGCATGTGAAAAAAGTAGCGGCTTATAGTCCGAACATTACGGAAATTAAAGTTGTATTGTATTTCACCACATCCTGTCTTTTCTCCCGTCTGTCAGAACATGATGATTCTCATCCTGTGTCTCATCTCTCCTTTTTTTTTTTTTAACTCAGATCAAATTCTCACTCCCCGGTTTGTTTTATCTTGTTCCCTGCAGGAGAACCGAAGACTGAGGACAGCGTCACGGACAAGAAGAAACAAAGTAAGAACCGCTGACGGTTCAGCAGATTTTTTTTTTTTACAGTGTAGTTTCATCCACAACTTTAATTCCTTTTTTTTTTCTTCTCATTTTATTATAAATGTGATTCATTTTCAGGGGTTCACTTTATTTGTCGCAACTTAAACTGGAAAACTTTGCACATTGTTTAAAGCAGAAAGTAATTTTTCAGGTTTTCAAACGTAAGAATATAAACGTCATGTCAAACACTCGTCTCCTCTCGTCTGTCTCACAGGTCAGAAATTCTTCCAGTGCATCTATTTTCCAGGAAAAAGTGCACAGTACCCTTTACGACCTTTGACCCCGGCCATGTCCCCCGCCATGCTGTCCCCTGCTGTGAGGTCCATGCTGGAGCAGCAGAGAGCCGCCCGAGCGTCGGGGCAGTAACTGCATTTTCTATACGACGGGATCTCCCAAACCAGCTGAGGGAGACTTTTTATTCTGTGGCATTCTTTAAATCAGCTGCAGACAGAGACAACGACAGATTTATTTAACGTTAACTTGTTTGTTCAGTGGTTGAGCTCCTGGGGTTTCTGTCAACACTACACATCATGCTGCACCTTAAACGTATGGACACCTGCAGGGAATTTCCATATTAAAAAGCATAATTTATTGGACACAACACACAATTTGTATTTCAAAATATGACAAAATGAAAAACAAAATCTTGCCTTGAAATGACATTGAACATCTCTCAACGCGGTATGCTGATTTGTCTTAAACTGTAAAAACTACAATAATGCGTCGTGCAATGATGAAGGCATGCAGTTGGCACGATTTAACATTTTCCTCAGTTGTCCTGCAGCTGTTCAGCTGCAGCCTCCCTCTCCTCTTTATTTCTGCTGGTTAGCTGTAGCTGTGAAACATCAGCATGCAAACGTTGGAGAGTGAAACCCCGGAGCTCCCACATCCATCCCAGCAGCATCTCTGCCGTCGAACATCGGCTGCATGCAGACGAGCAACAAGACATCCATCCACACATATTAGAACCATCTGGGTTTAAGTGCTGGTCACCCTTCACATAAAAGATGGCACTTCTTTCTTGATTTGAAAGATTCTCTCTTCTCCACAGCTTCAGTCACACGTTGTGACGATTGTTCACCAGGTGGAGCATTAAAATACAGATGTTTACATAAAAATGCAGGCTATGTTGGATTTGGAGGAAAAGAACAGGCATAGCTTTAAGCATTTAAAAATAATAAACTGTGTGTTAGTGCAGGAAACACAACAAAGAGTAAAATCAAAATGAATTCAGTGAAATACATATTTACATTTGACTAACACGGTCAACAGGATGAACGTTCCATCAACCTGAAACAGGAAGTTCAGTAAAATATTGAGAAAATCTGTAAAATATTAAAAATAAGCATACAAAACAATCATCTGTGCAGAAATATAACAATTTAGGAAATATGTTCTCAAACTAGGCACACTGAAAATAAATATCAAATTATTTTGTCTTCAGAAAAACATTTAAATGGACAACAAAGAAATAAAACAAATACAATATTTAGCAAATAATATATTTAAACTAATAGCCTAACTATTTTCTGCCTGACATTTATTGATAAATCCAAAGATGATATTAATCTGTGAACATCTCCACATTACATGCAATAATTTAAATTATAATGGATTAGTTCAATTGATAAAAACTTCCATTTTATTCAGTTTAGTACTGTATTTGTGTATTTTCTCACTTACTGCAGTAGTTTAGTTTCACCGTGGTGCATTCAGGGACAGGGAAACTGCAGGAGATCCTCCATGTGACCAACTAACTGCTGTGACCTTCGCTGCAGTGAATGAATGTAAGTTTTGTTTGTCAGCTCGTCGAAGCCTGACATGTTTTTATTCTCTTACCTCCGTCCTTCGCCGTTCTGGTCTTGCGCCTCGGCAGCAGCGGCGCATCGTTTGTGACGTGACTGCTGCTGAGCATTTTCACCAGAAACTTCCTGTCGTCGTCTTACTGAGCGGAAACTTGACGTTTCTGTAAAAGAACCAAAGAGTTTTAAACGAGAGCCTTCACTGGAGGATCCAGTTTATTACCAGTTCCATGTGGATGATAAGTTGTCATGTGTGCTGTTTTCCTCAACGTGTTTCAAACTTTGTTTCATGTTTGAAGGATGTGGCAAAGCAGAGTTCTCTGTTCTTAATGCTGACTTAGAACATTTATTCAACTCTCTGCTCCCGGTTTATGGCAGCAAAGTAAGCTAGGCCTCATTTATTTATGTGCTTCCTGAAGCTCTTGGTATCCAGAACTATTCAGAGCTTAGAGGCAAAGTCCCTCATAAAAACAACAAAATGCTGGTTTTCATTTCGTAAAACCAACTCATGGAAGTATCTCGCTGGGCAGTGACTGAACAGTAGAAGATGTGAGTGAGGAAAGTGAGGGTGGAGGTTTCTCTTACTCATTAAAAATGGGTAACCAGGTCAGTTTACTGACCAATAAATAGCTGATACATTATTTTGAATGATCAACAGCTGAAGCTTTAATTGAAGGAACTGAGAATTCTTATATTTATGCCAAATGAGGAAATTGATTTTAATTTTCCATCCATCCATCCATCCATCCATCCATCCATCCATCCATCCATTACCTTCCTCTTGTTCTGAAGTTGGGTCGCGGGGGCAGCAGCTTGAGCAGGGAGGTCCAGACATCTCTTTCCACAGCCTCTTCCAGCTCTTCTGGGAGGACTCCAAGGTGTTCCCAGGCCAACTGAGAGTCATGGTCTCTCCAGTGTGTCCTGGGTCTTCCCTGGGGTCTCCTCCCCGTCGGACATGTCCGAAGCACCTCCCTAGGGAGGCGCCCAATGAGCATCCTTACCAAATGTTGAACCACCTCAACTGGCTCCTCTCGATGTGGAGGAGCAGCGGTTCTACTTCGAGTCTCTCCTGAGAACTGAACTTCTCACCCTGTCTCTAAGGGAGAGTCCAGCTACCCTGCAGAGGAAACTCATTTCAACCGCCTGTATCTACAATCTCATTCTTTCAGTCATTTCCCAGAGTTCATGACCAGAGGTGAGGGGAGGAACATAGACCGACCGGTAAACAGAGAGCTTTGTCTTACAGCTCAGCTCCTTCTTCACCACAATGGACCGGCACAGAGTCCACAATACGCTGCACCAATCAGTCTGTCAATCTCACGCTCCATTTTTCCCTCACTCGTGAACAAAACCCAGAGATACTTGAACTCCTCCACTTGAGGCAGAACAATCCACCCTTTTCTGACTGAGGACCATGGCCTCAGATCTGGAGGTGCTGATTCTCATCCCAGCCGCTTCACACTCGGTTGAAAACCGTTCCAGTGAGAGCTGGAGATCACGGCACGATAACACCAACCTGACCACATCATCTAATGAGGAAATTGATTTTAAATTTCATTCGTTAGGAAGTCTCCAAAAGGTCTCAGGATGGTAGCAGTGTCTTTCTCCATTTTCTCTTCTGAGTTCCAGAGGCTTGAAGACCTGTAACTTGAATCTCTAACATGTCTATAAAATGTGTGCAACAGTTTTTCTCTCAAACTGGTCTCAGAGTCATCGTAGGCGTCTCCATCCGGTCTCAGGAGTGACAGTGCTGTATCTTAACACCTGCTCTGCAGCATTTCTCTTACTTATATGTTATGACATAGAAACCATGCCAAACAATAATTAAAGAAAAGTTGTACTAAACCTGCATATCGCCATTTTAAAAGTGAATCCAATAGGAAAGATCCTGAACATGGGGGCAGCGGCCAAGTTGTGTTATGATGCGTGCAACAAATAACTAGAACAACCTACAAAAAGTTTTTACAAGCTACGATTAAAAACAGAAACTGGCCTCGTGCCCTACTGGAGACAAGCTTTGACAGTTCAGTGAGACTGCAAGTGACATCTAACATCTGGTCTCATATTGAGTCACGTTAAAGGAGCCGCTGAGTCTGTGACAGTCTCAGCCCAGTCCGATACACCTTTTAGGTGATCTGTCTTAAAGTCAAAACCGAGAACAGTCTGAGCTCTGAAGAACTGGGTGTTTCCAAGAGTTACTGGCAGTAGATGTTGCTGTTAGCATCGTCTGTGTGCAAACTGCCTCAGACCTGATCAAAAGCGAGGCGACAAACTCTCCAACATGATCTGATGTACAAAAACACGTTTTCTTATTGTTTCTAGAACAATCAGCAGTGGAAGATGGCTTCAGCTTAGCTTTGTTATAAACTTTTATTAAATCTGAAGCTGAGCTGAAGAAGAGCTCAGACTTCCTGTTCCCCTTCAGGCACGAGAACTGAGGTGTGAACAGCTGACGTGGGTCAGGGCTACGTTACACCTGACAGCCAGAGACCGAGCGTCAGCGTGGCCTTTAACACACACCCTAAAGGAAGGCTATTCAACCAAACTGCTCAGGGGGCCACAGTTACTGAAAGCCAAGAGCCCAGGGGCCGGATATCCAGCAGTTATTGTCACTGAGCAAGTTTGTTTTATGGTTTAACATATAGTTTTATTTAAAATGAACCAGCTGAGGGGCCAAACTGAGCACACCAGAGGGCCTGATTTGGCCCCCGGGCCACCAGTTGAAAAGCTCTGCCCTAAAGTGTGCTGTGACTTTTGTGCATTATTTGATGCGTGCAGCAGCACACGGCGCTTCGGTGCTGAATGCGTTGATGCACAAAACATTTACACTGTTGCATGCTGGGATTCTGTTTGAAAACATTAAATAAACAAGTCAGTAAATAAGTTGGAAACTTTTGGGAAAAGCTTGAAAATGTCCCAGACTGCAGGTTTTAGATCCTTTTAAAACAGAGTGGCCTTTATTTTTATGCATGTTCTTTTGAAAAGCCACAATGTGACATTTGTACATTAAAGTCTTGCTGTTTTAACTTTTTAGTTTTTTTGTATTTTGCAGCTGTACAGAGACACAGTATAATTTATTAATTGAGATCCTCTGCACAGAAAAAAAATTAGTTTACGGAGCATCACGTTGTCCACAATGTCTGTTTTGATGTTAAATCTTTCACATATTTATTCCATTTTAATTCATAACACAAGTTATTTGGTTATTTAAACCTCTGATGCTTCTTATTAACCTCCTGACCAGTCGAACGACTGGATTCCCTGCTGAGCTGATGAACTTTAGAGCTGTAGTTCAGGAATCAGTGCATGAAAGGGTCGTAGTTTTAAAGCACAAACTATGTGCAACACAGTTGTGTGGAAGCCAGTTAAAGATTTCTGATGAGCTCAAAGAATGCAAATGTAAAGCTTCCAGTATAAATACATTTCAGTGAGTAAATTAAAATACAGCCATGGAGCTTATACACAGTTGTGAACCGATTTAGGCCCTGTTTACATGAGAACAATCCCTGGAAATAGTAGTGTTTTTTTCAGTGTTTGTGGAAAAGTTGCACGTTAATGCTGTGCTCGTTGATTCCACTGGAGTTTTCATGCCAGGCCACTAGGTGGCTCTGTGATTTTTGTATTTGAATGACATGCACACCGACCAGTCTCGAGAATGAAAACAGATGCAATCAAAATGATGAATAAGCAACAATTATTTGAGCAAAGGATTAGGCTGGGTCGCTCCTACGTGTGGAAAGGTGTGATCAGCACAAACAGCACTCTCCACCATCACTACTGTTCATCTACTCCTGTAAGCACAGAAAAAATACTGACTGCT